CTTTAAATTTTTCGAGGCATCAATGATTATTGATAGAAATATCCTAATGCTTATTTTACCAGTGATATTGTTAAATAAATGTGCATCTGGTTGCGAGATTAAATTACAGGTGTTTCAAACAGTATAGAAGAAACCTTTTTGCTTTTATTTTCTACAATGAGGAGGCATCTATTTTTAGCCTTGTAGACCAGAAGGATCAGCAATATTTCACATCCAGAACACATGGCTACTGTAAAAGGAGCCACAGAGGCTAACTCTGCCTTGGACTGTGAAAAAGAGAGCTGAATGATGGCAAGGGCTAAGAAACTATTTAACATCCCACTTTCAACAGCAACCGTTTTACAAACAGGAAGGGGCAGCATACAAACTTTAGCAAAGGAGTGCCCAAACAACAAACCCAAAGCAGGAACTGAGAGACCCAACAGAAGCACTCTGGGTTAACTGTAGAAACATTAGAAACATTAATCCCATTCTGAAAGTCAAATAAATCCATGTAAACATCAAAATAAAACTCAGAGGTCTAGTTATTCTCTCTAAAAAGTTTGCTTTTCAGGTATTCTACACTTGATGATTATTCCAACTCATATTGGTATAAGTATGAAAAGGAGGGTGGACACAATTTTAGAAACAGGAATATGAAATGTACCTGATAATCCTATATTTTACTGTATATATAAGAATTGACAGGCATCATTATCAGGGCCAATAACATTGATGTGCAAGTCATCAAAAAAGCCAAAGTGACATCTCCTTCTAGAAGCAGAGCAAAGAGATAGCCCCCACCCGCTCCTGGGCATGTGCAGGTCATTACAAATCCAAAAGCTTGTGCCTCAGGCAATGCCAAAATCTGGGACAAAAGAAATCCACAAAATGGCATTAGAAAAAACTGTGTAACTGCCCCAAGAATTATTGGCAAAGTTCCCTTCCGTACAGTTTGAAACACCTGTAATTCAATCTTGCAACCAAATGTACATTTATTTAACAATATCACTGGTAAAATAAGCATTAGGATATTTCTACCAATATTCACTGATGCCTGGAAAAGACTGTCTTTTGTTTGTTTGAGCACTTTGACTCTGACATTCTTTATTTCTTCAATGAGTCTTTCTGCCTACCTTCAGAATCCCAGAGCTGAATGGTCAAATTCGTTTCTCCTTCATCTGTCACTAGCTGTATGCTAAAGTTTGTAACATCTGATGAGGTCTTGGTCACATTCACCACTTGTAGCATTCTAGGATCTTCCAGTTGCACAAAGAGGTAGTTGGAGTTAGACTGTTTATCTTTCAGCTTCACCTTACAGTGATGGTTTCTTCAGTCTTAGTGAAAAATTGTTTCAGTCTTCTTAATATTCAAAAAATTGAGAAATGATTTCTTTCCTTCTCTCAGAGTCACAACAAGCATAGCAAATAAAAACTTTTCTAATCGTTTTGAAAGCTTAAATAAATCATATACGCAAAATCAATTTTTAAAAACTAAAGAACATTCTTTGCACAGTTGTTCCTGTGACAGTCTGAGGTTGAGTTAGGTAACAGCTGTTTTTGCTGGATCAAAGTCCAGTGGGAGGGACTGCCGTACTTTTCAAACAAATACAAAGCTATCTAGTGAGCGACACAACCTGTTTAACTTGTAGGTAAGAAAATGTAGGCCGGGCGCGGTGGCTCACGCCTGTAATCCTAGCACTCTGGGAGGCCGAGGCAGGTGGATCGCTCAAGGTCAGGAGTTTGAGACCAGCCTGAGCAAGAGCGAGACCCCATCTCTACCAAAAAAAAATAGAAAGAAATGATCTGGACAACTAAAAATATATATATAGAAAAAATTAGCCGGGCATGGTGGTGCATGCCTGTAGTCCCAGCTACTCGGGAGGCTGAGGCAGGAGGATCGCTTGAACCCAGGAGTTTGAGGTTGCTGTGAGCTAGGCTGACACCACGGCACTCACTCTAGCCAGGGCAACAAAGCAAGACTCTGTCTCAAAAAAAAAAAAAAAAAAAAAGAAGAAAATGTAAAAGCCATGGCATTTATCAGATTCAATTTATTACAAAGAAACCTAATCCCTTTCCTCTTGCCTTCCTCATTTCCACTAATGAAAAAATCAGCCTCTTATTTACTGTAATTTAAAACCTTGGTGTCGTTTTTTCGTTCTCTTTCTTGCTATGGAAAATTTACACTAAAAGCAGTCAAGATCAAAAAGTCTACAACAAATATTGAGGAAGCCTGTTACTATTTTATTCACTCAAGTTAAAATCAAATAAATATTCACTGAACATCTGTTTGCCTGGGGCACTGAGCTAGTGGCTGGCTATACTGTGGTGATCAAACCGGAAACAGTCTCTGCTTCCCTGGAGTTTAGTCGGGTGGCCTGTTATCAATAGTTAGAAAACTGCAGAGCCCATAAACTAGCCTTGACAGCATCCTCAGGCTGCTAATAGTTTTCCTACAACTCTAAAGGGTGACTGTATCCTTGAGGCAAAAACTGAAACTGTTTTTGGTGTCCTTAGGTAGGAAAATAATTTCCTGAATGGTTACCAGATAACTTGGGACCATTAGGAAAGTAGGTGCCTGCTACCATGGCCCAAGGTAACAGCCTGGTTAAGGGGCCACTGCTACTGGATACTTGAACCCTGGCACAATGGGGCAATGGAAAGACAATGTATTAATTCTAATCTCTTGTTTTTTCTTTGTAACACTAATTCCTATTCACAGTTATGGGTAAGAACATTCAATTGACCCAACTTAGGTCACATCCCTTGATCGCCAGGGATAAGGAAAAGCATCAGGCTTTGGACTTCAACCCACAGACTCACACAGTTGTGTATTTCCAAACAATGGAAGGGTGTTCTGATGCTAAGCCGAAAACAAACAGAAAAACAAACAAACAAAAACCCAAACACAACAACTGTCTTCTATCGAGCCTACAGATCTAGTGGTCTCTAAACACATGACCATTTCAGCGGGTCCTTAATGAAATCATGATGCAATCTGTGTTAAATGAAAGGACAGTTTATATTAAGTATTTTAGACCATATTTTCCTGTTAAAAATTGTGAAAGCCATTTTTATTAGACATTTTGACAAGTTTAAAAAAAATTCTATTGTTTATGTAGGTTGATATTTTGAACAAAATAGACTTTAGATCTCAGGAATTTTCTTTCCATGTACCACATTAAGAAACACAAGATGTCTTGTCCCAAATGTGAGAATAGCAAATGGAATGAATATGTTCAGTGACATTTCAGTTAAACTCCCAGGGAATTTCCCTAGTTTAAAATGACAAAAACCAAACAAACATACAACAAAAACTTTACAAAGCCAAAGTTATCTTTACGGTTATGTGACCAAATATCTTGATTCACAATTTTTTTGCCCAGGTCGAAGATGTGAAATATGTCAACATTTTTCCCTCAGAATCCCCATCTGCAACCTTTTCACTTCTTCAAGTTCTCCACGCCCTTTCCTTATATGAAACTGTGGGGAATAAAACCTGACAAATCTAGGAAAAATTTGATAATCTATCACTCACGCAAATAAGGGGTCTTCAAAAAGTTCATGGAAAATGGGTATGATGACAAAATGATGCATGATTTCAAAATTTTTTTCACCAAATAAACTTGTACTAACTTGTTTAACATGGCTAAATAGGATCTAGTGTGAGGCATGAAGAAAGATAATATAACAGTTTGAAGAGTCCCTTTTATCAGAGCAACATGAATTCTGCTAAAATTGAAGCAAGAACACACATCAAATTTATGCGGAAGCTTGGGTGCAATAATGGCAAAATTATCGATGCTTCACAAAAATTTATGGGGACAATGGTCCCAAAGAAATCAGCAGTTTACAAGGAGATAATTTGTTTTGACAAGGGATGAGGCGATGTTGAAGATGAAGCCTGCAGCAGTAGACCATCCACATTAATTTGGAAGAAACTATTTGGAAGAAAATAATTTGGAGGAAAATATGTAACTTCTTCATGCCCTGATTGAAGAGGATGGACAAGTAATAGCAACAATATCCAACACCATAGACATCTCAATTGGCTCAGTGTACACAATTCTGACTGAAAAATTAAAGTTGAGCAAACTTTCCATTTGGTGGGTGCCAAAACTGTCATGGCCAGATCAGCTGCAGAAAAGAGCAGAGCTTACAATGGAAATTTTAAGCAACTGGGATCAAGAGACAAACTCACAAAATAAAACAAAACAAAACAAAACAAAAAAACCCTAAGGAAAACCAAAACAGGAATGAAAGACAGTCCTTAGAAAACCTTAAAATATTGATATGTCAATGAGAAACATAAGTAAAATCAATATATTTGATAGCTTTAAAAGAAAAATGATTTACAAAGTAGATTGGTTATTTATAAAGTATAAATTTCTATTATATTCTAAGAGCCTCTATGGTTGACTAAACAAAATGAAAAGACAACCCATAAGAGAAATGATCAAAGGATGTGCATGGGCAATTCAGAGAAGAGCAATTCCAGATGACCAGAAAACATATTAAAAGATGCTCAGACTGACTGGGCACAGTGGCTCACACTTGTAATTCTAGCGCTTTGGGAGACTGAGGCAGGAGAATCGCTTGCGGTCTGGAGTTCAAGACCAGCCTGAGCAAGAGCAAGACCCCTTCTCTACAAAAAAATAAATAAAAATTAGCCACGCTTGGTGGTGTGTGCCTGTAGTCCCAGCTACTTGAGAGGCTGAGGCAGGAGGATCACCTGAGACCCAATAGTGTGTGGTTGAAGTGAGCTATGATGACACCACTGCATTCTAGCTGGGGTGACAGAGTGAGACCCTATCTCAAAAAATAAATTTAAAAAAATGCTCCAACTGAATAGTAGTCATGGAAATACAAATTAAAGCAATTATAAGATATCTTTTATAGCCACCGGACTGAACTTAAAAAGAGGGCAAACAGCTACTGGAAATCATGGGAGTAAAAGGGTATTCTCATATTTGGCCACAAGAGGCAGTATATTGAACTGGTTAGGATGGTAGGCTCTTACCACCTGAATGATCTTAAGGAATATTTAACTCCTGATTACTCATCTGTGAAATGAGGATAAATATATTGCAGAAGAGTGATAAATACTAAAGAAGATATAAAATCTAGAGCCACAAAACAGTTCATGGCATAGGCAATCAGTCAATAAATTTTGACTATTACAATTATTTTTAGTAGACGTGAATTTTTGCAATTTCTTTCTAAAGTTGTTTGGCAATATGTACTAAAATTTAAAATACACATAATCTTTGACACAGCAACACACTCTTGGGAATTTATCCCGCAGAAATTAAAGTATCAGACTATGGATACTTAGCACTGTAGCCAAAACCGGGAACAAAGTAAATGTTCATCATTAAGAAAATGGCAAAATAAGTCACAGGACACCTACACACAGAATATGATGCAGCTGTTAGAGAAAACGATCTAGAGCCATATCTGCTCACTTGAGGGAATTTCTACTAGGAATTAATGAGAGAAGAATATATAGAGAAGAGGATATATAATCCATCCACAACCTTTATTTTCACTTTTAGCCCTATATATGGACTAAATGAATGATTCCATTTTTACAAAATAATGACTGAAAGACACCCCTTATACTTTTCATACATATATTAATATAAGTAGAATACATTTCCATTTATTTAAAGTTATACACATGTATATGCACACACATACATACTCATATACATGGATGTATGCATGTATATATATGCATATGTGTACATGTGTTTGTATATATTACATATGAAAATATGTATATGAACACACATAAATACATATATCTCTATACATGTGCACACATTTATTATAAGGGGGAAAACCTGTGGAGTTCTCCATGATGTATTACTACATATGTGAAGAACACTGTCTCTGAAGCCTGACTGCCTGGTTTCAATTCACCGTTCTCCACTCAGCAAGCTATGTTACCAGCAACCTACTTCACCCTTTCAGGTAAGAGTCAACAGTGCCTACCTCATAAGCTTGCTGCGAGGATGAAACATGTTAGAAGAGTGCCTGGAACAAAGTAAATGCTATAGAAGTTTTTATTGTTATGTTTTAAGTAATAAAAAAATTACAAAATAATGTGAATAATATTGGATACTTCAGAGCAGGTCATATCAACTTTGTCACTATTAACATTTTGGACCAGAAAATTCCCTGTTGCAGGCCATGTCCTATACACTGTAGGATGTTTAACAGCATCTCTGGCCTCTACTGACTAAATAGCAATAGCACCTTATCCCCAACTGTGACAACCAAAAATGTCTCCAGACATTGCCAAATTTCTCCTAGGACTGCACTTCCCAACCCCAGGGCCATGGCCCAGTACCGGTCCGTGGCCTGTTAGGAACTGAGCCATCTATCACCACCTGAGCTCCACCTTCCCCCCACTCCCAC